TAATAATAATAATAATAATAATAATAATAATAATAATGATAATAATAATAATAATAATAATAATAATAATAATAATAATAATAATAATAATAATAATAATAATAATAATAATAAATGGTAATAGTAAGAAGAGGAAAAGAAGAAGAAGAAGAAGAAGAAGAAGAAGAAGAAGAAGAAGAAGAAGAAGAAAGAAGAAGAAGAAGAAGAAGAAGAAGAAGAAGAAGAAGAAGAAGAAGAAGAAGAAGAGGAGGGGGGAAAGAGAAAATAAAGAAGCAGGAATCTCTAATGCAGCTCTGAATAGACAAAAAAAGATTGTGTCGGCTCTTGCCAAAGTGTTTTGTGTACTCTGAGAACTGCTGTAACCAGGCCGAATTCTCACTTCTTGGAACACACACACACACACACACACACACACACACACACACACACACACACATCATCAGACAAATATCTGACTATAAACAATCACCCAGACAGAGTAGAAAGATGTAGTGAGATCACTGGGAATGACAGATAAATGTACCAGGAACACAAGACATTATTCCAAGATCTCTTGGTCAGCTCTCCTCTCACTTGATGCGAGGAAGGGGAATCGTGCCCACGTACTGGCAGCAGCCACAACACACCAGGAAACTGGTCACGTCAAGGACAATGAAATCACATAAGAATTTCGACATTCATAGTGAAAGTGACAGTAAATATATTTAAATCTCACCATGGATGATGAAAGTGACAGTCGATATATTTAAATCTCACCATGGATAATGAAAGTGACAGTAGATATATTTAAATCTCATCATGGACAGTGAAAATGACAGTAGATATATTCAAATCTCACCGTGGACAGTGAAAGTGACGGTAGAGATACTGAACTTTCACCATAGATAGTGACAGTGACAGTAGTGATACTAAACTCTCACCATGGATAGTGAAAGTGACAGTAGAGATAGTCACCTCTCACCATGGATAGTGAAAGTGACAGTAGAGATATTTACCTCTCACCATAAATAGTGAAAGTGAAAGTAGAGATAGTGAACTCTCACCATGGCTAGTGAAAGTGACAGTAGAGATATTTACCTCTCACCATGGATAGTGAAAGTGACAGTAGAGATAGTGAACTCTCACCATGGCTAGTGAAAGTGACAGTAGAGATATTTACCTCTCACCATGGCTAGTGAAAGTGACAGTAGAGATATTTACCTCTCACCATGGATAGTGAAAGTGACAGTAGAGATAGTGAACTCTCACCATGGCTAGTGAAAGTGACAGTAGAGATATTTACCTCTCACCATGGATAGTGAAAGTGACAGTAGAGATAGTGAACTCTCACCATGGTTAGTGAAAGTGACAGTAGAGATATTTACCTCTCACCATGGATAGTGAAAGTGACAGTAGAGACAGTGAACTCTCACCATGGATACTGAAGGTGACACCAGAGCTACTATGGCGGCCACTGATGACAACGAACCACTGAAGACATAAGACTTTTAGAAAGACTGTCTCAACAACACACACAGCACCACCAGAAGGGTCTTTCACCCCGCCAACTAAAGTCTCTGTAGCAATGTTATCGAGGTTCAGCAGGTCAGTGGCCAAATTAACGTTATGGGCGATTTTCTCCACGATAAAGCCGTGTTAGTGGAATTGTCCGTGATATCTGGGAGGAGCTGGCTTGTCTGAAGACTCTGCAGAGATATCTCACTCTGCTGCTGCTGCTGCTGCTATTGTTGCTGCTGCTCCTGCTGCTGGCTGCTATTGTTGCTGTTGCTGCTGCTGCCGCTCCTGCTGTTGTTGTTGCTGCTGCCGCTCCTGCTATTGTTGTTGTTGTTGCTGCTGCCGCTCCGCTGTTGTTGTTGTTGCTGCTGCTGCTGCTCCTGCTGTTGTTGCTGCTGCTGCTGCCGCTCCTGCTATTGTTGTTGTTGTTGCTGCTGCTGCTGCTCCTGCTGTTGTTGTTGTTGTTGCTGCTGCTGCTATTGTTGCTGCTGCTGCTGCTGCTGCTGCTGTTGCTGCTGCTGCTGGCTGCTAATGTTGCTGCTGCTGCTGGCTGCTATTGTTGCTGTTGCTGCTGCTGCCGCTCCTGCTGTTGTTGTTGCTGCTGCCGCTCCTGCTATTGTTGTTGTTGTTGCTGCTGCCGCTCCTGCTGTTGTTGTTGTTGCTGCTGCTGCTGCTCCTGCTGTTGTTGCTGCTGCTGCTGCCGCTCCTGCTATTGTTGTTGTTGTTGCTGCTGCTGCTGCTCCTGCTGTTGTTGTTGTTGTTGCTGCTGCTGCTATTGTTGCTGCTGCTGCTGCTGCTGCTGCTGTTGCTGCTGCTGCTGGCTGCTAATGTTGCTGCTGCTGCTGGCTGCTATTGTTGCTGTTGCTGCTGCTGCCGCTCCTGCTGTTGTTGTTGCTGCTGCCGCTCCTGCTATTGTTGTTGTTGTTGCTGCTGCTGCTCCTGCTGTTGTTGCTGCTGCTGCTGCCGCTCCTGCTGTTGTTGTTGTTGCTGCTGCTACGCTCCTGCT